CGTGGGAACCGCCGGGGAGGGTGGTGGGGGGGGGGATACGCGGAGCCTCCGCGCCCGCTCCGGAGGGGTTGGGGATGCGGCTGCGGCAGCAGAGCCCCCCTCTTCCCGATCCGCGTGTGTGTGGACATGAGTGTGTTCCCCCCCGAAAAAAAAAAAAAAAAACCACAACTTAGCAGAGTTTCCGCGCAGAGGTGCGGAGCGGCGCGGCCGCCTCCCCGCGGGGTGACCCCGCTGCGCGCTCCCCAAACGAGTGTTTTGGGCTCTGGGTGGTTCAGGGCTGCCTGTTGCCAGCTGTTTTCCCCGGGATTAAAAACAACGGCAGCGGTGCTGTCGGGATAGAAACGGTTTCTTGAATTAAAATAATAATAACTGGATGTACACCGTGCATCTTCCCCAGCTCCCCGGGGCCCTACAGAAGTTGGCTTGCACTGTTTTAAACCATTGCTGCAGAAGATTAAAATTCAGGTTAAAGACAGTCTTTCAGTCACAATCTGCCATCATCTCTTACGGTCTTTCAGTCACAATCTGCCATCATCTCTTACGTTCGTTAAGCCGGTGAGCTCTAAAACGCTGAATTACCGGTTATAAACCACTAGGAACCACAGCTACGGTGGCCAGATGCTCCCCACAGTACATCCCTGTTGTGGCTCCTTAAAAATTGCCAAACTTGAATGAATTAGGCTGCAACTTTCTGCCTTGGCAGCCTGTGCTGGATGTTTTCTGAATGCTCCAAATCCTTTGCCTCTTCCAAAGATGAAAGCAGAGTAGAAGAGCATCATCTTGGTCGCTCCTGGGCTTGCTATGTTTTTTTGACTGTTACTCTGAAAATAGGGTCTTGAAATTTGGCACAAAGCAGCCTTTTATGGTCTTTTAGATAAACCCACCCAAATTTGTCATATTACTGGGCTTTGAAGAAGAGCAGCTCACAACACGGGGGAGGGGGACGGGGTGAAGCCCAATGCTGCTGAAATCTCTGAAAATGCTGCTCCTGGGGCACTTGCTGCCCCAGGTGCTCAGAACCCTCTCAGCAGACCCCCCAGGGACAGGGAACATCAGCCCCTGGTTAAAAAGCCTTTGCTGGGATTGCTGAAGCAGTGGGATACATGAGCACAGCCCCTGTCTCTCAGTCCCTGTCAGCCCCAGACACCTCAGTGGGTGCTGACCCTGCTGCTCCAGCGTCCAGCAACATTCACTGCCAGGACTTCATCTATGGATCCCACCTCATCCATGTGCACAGGCTGCCTTAAGGGATATTGTGAAGGTCATTATGTTACCTGGTCAGAACATCAGAAGTGTCCCACATGAGACATTCCATACCAGTTTTGTTGTGCACACATTCTCTGATGCAGTTCTTAATTACACTGTCCCAATCTGATTCCTCTACCGCGCCTGCACACCCTGGACCCGCTGTGTAAGCCAAAAAGAAAACACTTTGGCCAGATTCTCATCTTATCTGCAGGACCATAAACTGCCCAAGGAGCAATGCAAGGGCTGTGAGACTCAGGGAGATTGTGACAATAGGAGAAAACTCTCCCAAAGAAGCAGATTCCCTCGGTGCCCTTGCCCCAGGCTATATGATGCTAACAAAGTCATTAACCCAAACTTTTGGCTGCTGATGGCTGTAGTGCCCACACTGGCTGGAAACCTTTAGCCTGAATTGCTGACATCCATCTTCGTGCAGCTGGAAGCAGTGGGTGCTGTGCTTGCATGTATGAAGTGCTGCATCATGTTAAATGCTCTGAAAAAGCAGACATTATGCTTTTCAGATGGAGTACCCTGAATTAGTCAAAACTGACCTTAATCCATCCATGTGTCACCCTGACCCATCTTCAAAAGGGGCGTGTGGGGAGGATTGATGAAGGTGCTGAAGCGCTGAGGCAGTGTAGTGGAAAGTGCTATAGAATGAACCATGAGGACATTAATAACTGTGTCTTTTCAGGAACCTGCAGGTCCCCCTGCTCTGGTCCTGCACGCTACAGCCTTACCACCCTTTGAGGCCATTTCTCCATGATTTCTGAACAACATCTCTGAGGAAGGTCACAGCATGGCAGGGCAGGTCCATAGCATGCCTACATGCAACCCCAATGCATTTTTTGCCATCCAGAACATCAGCACCTTGCTCTGCTCTGAAAGCTGCAGAGACAAGTATTTGAGCTGTGTTTTCTACCGCTCTGAAATCCAAAAGTGGTCAGACATGTGAATAATGTGCTGAATAATGTACTCTGCCCAGTCTCATGTGCTGAACAATAGGCATCACTGAGCCCCTTGCTGACCATCTCACTGCACACACAGCGATGCAGAAGGAGAAGAGTATCTGAACATGAAATTAAAGTCTTGTTCTGCTTCAACCAAAGGGGGTAGATGAAGTTGCACCGAGAAGAAGAGTTCAGACATTTCTGCCTTTTGACCACTTTCCATAATAGAATTTTGGCTACCACACATGCACACTTAAACACAACTTGTGTGCAGCTACATAAATGTGACACACACACTCAGATAGCACCTGATGGATGGTTCTCCAGAAAGGTCATGTATATGATATATACAACACTCAGTTTACATTGTATGACATTTATGTAGCACTTATGAAGAGCTCTGACAGGGTGTTGTCAGTTGGCATTTGCCAAGAGAAGAAATAAATCTAATAACAAAACCAAAAAAAAAAAGCATTTTGGAAGAAACAATACTGCACAAATCCTCTAAAAGGACAGAATTGTCTGCACAACAAAGGCTCGGCTGATTGATGCTAAAATAAGCAGTTATGCAACAAGTAAGAAATACGATCTCCAGGGAAGAAACCAGCAACATTTCCCTTTCATCTTCATTCACCGGTGCTTATTTTTGCAAACCTGAAAGGAAAAATATAGGCAGCCCTTTCGCTGATGAGCACGCAAGTAGAATTAACAGATGTTTTGAAGTGAAGGGCAGAGTCTTTTCTAAGTTTTGTAGGAGTTCTGCGGAGTTAAATCCCATCACTAACCATGAGTCCCCAAAATGCTGCAGAGCTCTTGCCTTGTGAATGCTTCCCCACACCCTGGGGGAGCGCTGGGCTGGGGTGATGAGGTGTGAATACCCTGATTTTAGGGGTGACTTTGCTCACCCTAGAGTTACAACTACAAAAGTAAATGTTAAAGCGACTTCAGGAGAAGAAGTGCATAAATTAGTTCATCTCTCAACGCTTTGGTTTAATAAAATTTCTCAGTCAGAGTTGAGACCGGTGAAAGTCTCGGTGCAGACAGGGGAGAGAAGGAGGACAACCCAGTTGCCTTGTTGGCATCAAAGTTGGTTACTGCAGTACATGAGCACCAGACACACGGGTGGGACAGGTCCGTGGGAGTGAGAGTAGTCCCCAAATACAGCAAAAAAATCCGGTGTAATTTTGAAGAGCTTTAGGAACAATGTATTTTCAGGCTAGTGAGAGACCATGAGGGAGGCTCAGCTCCCTCAACCTGTTCCTGCTGTGACACCCACCCTTCTCTGATGCTGGGGGACCACCACGGAGCAGGGAGATGCTCCTGGAGATCCTCAGAAGCACCACACAACTTGAAAACAGCACAGGAGACACGTAGCTGCTGATTTACTGCCTTAGATACCCTCTTCTGAGGCCTCTGGTAGCCAGAAGTCATTGGAATAGCCTTATGGCTGCTTTAATTCCTATCAAGGACCAGAGCAGTGCCCAGACATTCCAGGAGGGGAACACAGAGAAGATGAAAATCTTGCTGTGCCCATAATCCCAGCTGGGGTCATCCCATACCCCAGCTAGGATCGGGATATTTAGTTTTTATTAAAATATGTGTTAATTTGGAGAGTAGTAAGCAGATGCAGCAGAAGGAAAGAGAACAAGCTCTGTTCTAAATTACAATAATAATCATTCCCATCTTCGAGAATAAACTATGACAGACAGATCAAGGGAGAGATGGCTGCTATGGTCATTATATAAACTAATCCCTTTTCTTTCTCATTCATTCTGCATAATTCTTTTCCTCTCTGAAGCTAAGGAAAAACACTATACTTACAGGAGAAAAAATTTGATTTGGCAGATCAGTGGATAGTGAGATTTTGTTTGCAGTCTCAATTACCTTCAGTAGCTGGGAATTTGCTATCAAACTGTAAATAAAGTAGATATAGCATTACAAATGTCCATCCCTTGACAGAGAGCTCAGAAATTCTCTATGTTCTAGCAACAGCTGCTTTAATATCTTTCAAAGAAATGGCAGCTTCGCTCTGTCTGAAGGGATTACCTTTAAGGAATGCATCCATAAGTGGCTTTGTGCAAAGATGCTCACATTCCTGTGGGGTTTGTGCACTGCATTTTTTCTGCCAAATTTCAAGATTCTTTTGTTGTTGTTGTTGCTTTTCCTGTTTTCTCCAAGTTTGCCTCTATTGCCAAGTGCATGTAATACATCCCACATTTCATGCAGTCACCATGGACTGGAGGAACTGGGGGCTTTCAAAGGGCCTGTGAGTTATATTTGGGAAAATAAGGACCATCAGTTGTGAGGTGAGCAGCTCCAGTGCCCCTCCTGTGACAGGAGACCTGCTGGAGCTCCTCCTGCTTTGGAGGGATCCTTGGCCATCACAGCAGACTCCCCTGCAACACCCTCCCACCCTTCCCTGCTTTCCTTCCTTCGCTTCCTTTTTGCTGGCATTTCACACTTTCCACCTTCAGTGCAGGGAGGGAATAGCACAGCTCCTCAGGCCACGTGGGGTTTTGTATGAAGATATTTGACTGCTACAGGCAAACCTGTAGTTGTGGGTGATGGACGATGGAAAGAGAAGTAGATTTAGAATAAGAGCTCAGTTGGAAGGGACCTACAGGGAGTGTTCTGGTCCAGCTGCCTCAGTGCCCCTGCTCTCCCTCCTGAAAAG